AAGAAGTCGTTGACACAATTGTAGGCGACTACTCGCTTGTTTCAAGTAATAACCTCAAATGTGGTAATGTCAGTTAACACGAGTCAGCACTGTAACTGAGCAAGAAGAGTAGACATTGAAAAAACTCCTAAGGCATGGCTCATAATTCAAAATGGAATTTCATTTGTGGTTTCAAGGAGAAAACCTGTCGCCCATGGGGGAAAGTATATGGAAGATAAGACCAGGATGCTGCTGTGAATGTTGGCGGCAGCCATGGGGTCCATGGCGAGTAATATCTACATCCGAAGGGCCATGCGAGGAGGAGACCTCAGAGTCACGAGAACTTCCCCAAGAACCGGAGATGAGACCATGATACGTGTTGCTGTGACAAGAACAGGGAACCCGCCACGTCGTCAGCAGCCGATTTTTAGGTCGATACGAGAAAGAGCGTGACAAGGCCGCGTAGCCTAGGACCATAGGTGTGGTAGATGCGACTGCAGACGCGATCAGCGCAGTTCGCATTGTGGGAAGGGAAATCAGATAGGTAAAACATATTTTGATCAAATAAGAGTAATAATATTTTTTTAAAAATTACTATAAGTATATATTTAGAGCTTGATTTCGGAGAACTCAGTTGCCATGGTGGCACCTAAAGCGGTGCTGGTCAAGCTTTGTCTTAAAGGTGTCCACGGATCGGGACACGAAAATTTCCGCAGGAAGGGCATTCCATGCCTGGATTACTAACTTCCTAGAGAAAAAGCATTTTCTTGGGTCAAGTCTTGCCCCCAGTCACAAGTAATTCGAGAGGGTGTCCTCGCAGCCTAGAGGTTGTGGCCTGCTCAAAGTAGTCATTTGTGTCGTATTACAAATGTTCATGATTTTAGGCAACAACTTACTCCCACACACTCGGGTAAAGATTCGGCCTCTGCACGAGTTGGCCACACAGCACATGTCTTAGGTGAGGCCGGAAAAACGTCGTGGATTTTGCTGGTCGGTGGGGCCAATCGGGTCTCCTGCTGCTCTACCTACCTCCTTCTCAATCTGCGAACTGGCAACATGTTTTCCGCGGTGCCCATCAGGTCGGACGTGGATCCTCTGTTTGCACGCTATGAACACGCAAGTGCACTATGTGGTGATGAAGTAAGTGCCACAAATTACTTTCTTCAGATCTTCTTAACTTCAAAAAATGACGTTTTGAAATCAGTCATTTAAAATCACCTTTAAGTTTAAATACTGCGTAAAATTTTGATTTTGTTAAAGCCTTCTCCGTTAAGTTCCAACTTTCTTACCTATGAAATATTTTCCAACTGTTAGTTTTTTTATGACACGCATGTGTCTAGAGGTTGTACTAACGAATAGCCTACTTAGATGGGTATTGCTTACTTCACTTGGTACTGGAGAGTTAAAAGTGGACACTATAACGATGACTATACGCGGGTGAGATCATGCTTACGGTTGGCATAGTCCAGGGACCAGATTGCGGGTAGAGTGTCCATATGAAGAAACATTGGTACACCAACGTCAGGACTTGTTGTTCGCTTGCTCCCTGCGATAGGTCGCTCGGTAGGTACTCTAGACCAGATGAAGATTAGGACGCACGTTAGCTCATATTCCCATCTGCTTAGTTTGTTGCAGAAATAGGATGCATGTCAGCTATTGATACAATTATAGGAATATATTACTAGAATATACTATCCACTGGTCTTAATAAGTCTGATTGCTAGAATTAGAACTCTTAGCAGTAGCATATTACCTCTAGCAGTAGTATCCTAGTCCAAACTTAGTAAAATGTAACACAGCTTTTGGTGGACAGAGATGAGAGGATGGAACCAAGACAACCTCTGATGTGCTCTGGACATCAAACGTGTACCTACTCGGAAAAGCATAAACCCTGATTCGCTATACTTGTTGAAATCGAGGGGATATGAGCCCCAGTTTTGGCTTTCATCGGCATCAACTCTGACAAATACTAACGTCAGTACTAGGGTCTGTATTACTAACCCTCAGCTACACCCCTAGTGAGTAGTATTGGAAATTTGAAGACAGCGTAAGTAGCAGTATTTAATGGCACCATAATTCTGCTACTTACGCTGTCTTCAAATTTGTACCTGGGAAACGATGTTTCAAATTTCTGAAGTATTGGAAATAACAGTAGCAATACCAGCCTTAGTTTCCTTGAGCCTGTCTTGCCATCTACTGAAGGCGAGTGAGGGTAGATAGTGCGGTAGTATCCGTGCAAACGTCTACAGTCACCTTAAACTAAGTTAGGCGGTATTTTGGCCTGCATAGGAGAAGGCGGTTTACGCCCGAGCCCGTTCGGTCATCTTGACTTTGTCTTGTCACCGGTTCAAAATGGGGTAGACAGTTGCGCTTCTATTTCATTTGTATCTCGTCTCTGTATCCAGTCAGCATCCCTGCTCTTGAGCATATGGTGGACATAATCAAAATCAATGGTCAAACCATGCGCACGCATAACAAATGCCACACACGGGTAAGGGGAGCGTAATGGCACTTCTAGATGTGGA